AATTAAAATTTTGTAATAAATATTGTAGACATTAAAAAAATTTGGGTAGATTTCTTAATTTGCTCTTAGTTAAAAAATATGTTTTTATATAGTTTATGTTTTTTATAGTTTTCAGAATCGTTTGACAAAATTTCTGAATTTTTATTTTTCATATAAAAAAAATTCATATAGGTTGAAAATAGTAGTGTAAAATAAAGCGAAATAAACTGATAGCATAATAGGTTGTTACTGCTAATCTTTATTATCGAATTTACTTATATGACCTTCTATATTGTGACTTTGAAATAAAACACACTTGATATTTAGATTAGATTATATTAGATTATGATGGCAGACCACGAATATCGAAGAAAACAGTCAGCATAACCTTGATTTTGGACCGACTTTGGCGTTCTCTTTTCGGTTTCGGCTCACCCTCGAAGCACCGTTCGGTCGATTGTTGTTTGGTGGGCATGTCAAATTCATAGACCCATGTCTCATCACCAGTTATGATGCGTTCGATGAATGTGGGGTCACTATCTGCGTTGGAAATCATCATTTGGGCTGCAAGTTACCCAAAGTTTGGGACATAACGGACAGAGCCCTGAAGCTATACGCGAAAATCAACAGGATGCCCTACTTAGCACTATCTAATCTCAGAGTAACCACTAACCGTACGGGGCAGTACGTAGATCTTAGATCAGTCATTGAATAATCACGATGCTTATGAGTAATTCACTACTTAATCAGTGAGATGGGTGGGACTCTGCAGAAACCCCCTAGCTATCAAAGAATAAACGTGCCCAGATGCACTAACTCGAAAAAGACTCAACATTAGACACTAGACTAACAAATGTCTTGAATATATTTTTCTTGCTTGGATTTATTTGTAATAATCAACAATTTTTATTATTTTAAAAGTTAAAATTTGAAATATATGAATAACAATTTATACAATTGCAATAAACAAGCACTAAAAAAAATTAATGAATACAAAATAAAGGAATAAATAAAAAATATCATTCTAAATTCTAAAAAATTCTAAAAAATTCGCACCAAATACGGATGCCAAATGAAAAAATCACATATGTCAACAGACTTGGAGGAACTTTTTTGATATGTGTTGAGAAAAATGTTAAAATTTCTCTATTTTACTACTAAGAGGTCAGTGAAAACGTCACTCTGCACCGCATTTAACGCTGTTAAATGCCTGGCTGAGCCGTTGTAATTCATTGTGCGTTTGCATATGGCAATTACTAACCTTTTTTGTTGCTTCCTTAATTTTTAATGCAAATTCTAAATGCAAATTTTCCACATTTTCCTTCAAATCTCTTGCAGCTTTTCCATCTCTTTTCATTTTTCACTTTGCGAATTTGTGCACTTCTGCGGTTTGTTAACTTTATTGCACTGTTAAAGAAGGAGCATTTGAAAGCCAGAATTGTTTTAGCCTGAATTTGTTAGCATACAGTATCCTTGCTTATATGCGTCAAAGCATGTATGTTTGGTTGCATGCCTTAGTGGGCCTATATGGCTGCGGCTTCAGGTTTGTTTTTCTTTTTGTTCCCTGCAATATCGAGTTTTCACCCGCAACTCAAATGCCTTTGGGAGTTGGCCCACATATGAATAATTCACATTTCGTTTTGAAACTGACACTTTTTTAAGCTATTTTTGCGGTTTTTAAGCACAAATACACTCTAACATGAACTAGTGAAATATGTATGTGTGGTACAAGTACATCGCACATATATGCACACACTCAGATATGGCATTAGAGTACAAAATGCTGCAATGTAGCATGTGTGCCTTGTACGCTTTCAGCTGTTGTCTAAATAGAATATGAACGCGCTTTGCAGGATTTTCGAAATTACACAAATTCTATTTGCTGAGGCTTAGAAGCATTCGTGCTATCATTAAAGATTTTGTTATTTCATTTAATAATTAATATGGATTCAGTAGCAACAGGCAAACAGAGCTCAGGGCTTACTGTTATGTCGTATGCACAAAATAATTGAACTCACAAATTAGTTAATGAGACATGTTAAATTATAACTAAAATAAGAATACATAAAAGAGTACTGTTAAAAGAGTACAAGGCACATGTGTTTATTTGCAGTACTAATCAAGTTACTGTATTCAAAAACATTCTATCTGAGCTATCTGAGTTCATTAGCTCTGAGGACTTCTGTAACCTGAAAACGATATACCTAATGAACTTATATTATATACCATTTGTTATGTTGTGTATTGGATTGATATTTGAATTGTATTGATTCTTCAAAACTTGAACCACAAAATGCAAGTTAATAAGAAGCAACAAAAATTTCCTATCTGAGTTGGAAATTTTCAACAAAATAATACTCATGGGGATACATGATCATAACGAGTTCGACAATAATAAAATAGTTGTCATCCTCATGAAGAACGATATCCCTAATCTCTTTATTGGACTCAAACTTTAACACAAGAATAAACTATTTCTGAAACTTTTTTAATTTCCTAACTGATTACTGTTAATATTTAAATCTGTAACGTTTAAAAATATGATTCAAAAACACCAATCTTATCTGCACTTGTCCTACGATTGTCAGTAAGTGAATCCAATACCTCCATATGGCTCTCATTAAATCATTGAGTTAATGCATCTTATCTTATATTTAAGTTCATCAAAAACTAAATATAAAATGAACTGTTTCCATATACTAATTCTTTTTATTGGGCTCGAACTATATTTTAAAAATAAAAAAAATTTTCTATTTACTTTCATTTCATTTCATTTTAATTGACATTCTTATTTTACTGACCCTAAGATTGCCAGACAACGAGTCTTATGATATATTGTTCATAAGTTCATTAAAAACCGGAATGACTTAGGAGTCATTCGCCAGGGACTATATAATAAATCTTATAGGTCACCGAATGTAATTGTATCTACTAGTAGTAATATTATGTATTAGTCTATGCAAATAGTAACGATGTTAAAACTTAACTAGAAGATAAAACATAGAAGTTTAGCAGATTTATAAAATAGAAGGAAGCTATTTTTCTATGATATTTAAATTTTAATAAAATTTTTATTTGTTATTTAGACTAATGCAAAGATAATATTTAAATTCAAAGGACAAATACCAAAAAGATTTTCTCTAACTCCAAAAAATACGAAATAAAAAACACTTTCAACATCAAAAAGAGATATGAGAGAACAGATTACAAAGAAAAAAATTTATTCCCAATAATAATTTTGCAATACAAATTGTAAAAATTTTTTGGGAAACATTTTTTTAATTGAATTTTTTGAACGATATTTTCAATGATGTGTTAAGCATATAATGAAATAATATACATTTTTTTATTCATTACTTCAGTAATATATTGTTACTTGACAGGATGTTCATTCAAAATTATTACTACGCTTTATTCAAAAATATAGCTATTTTCTTAAATAAGGAATAAGATAATATACCCAACTTAAAATTTCATAAAAAATTTATTTAAGGGCTTATCTCTTCACAGTGAAGATGATTAATTTTACATTGAGATTTAGTAGAGTTAAAAGTATCTGCGGTTACACATTTTAAATGTAAATATTTCACAATACAAAAATGCAAAACAGAGCAGCGCAGAAGCAAGCAAACAGCAATGTGTTTATATTAAGTATCTTTTTAAGCTCTAATATAACTACAAAGAAAACTATAGTAACAATATATTATATATTGAGGTCAACTAAATGAAAATGTATAACATTATGTGGACAACTTTGTGAACTGCCGCACTTTTCATACCACATAGTACATAATGAAAAGGACATCATTGTGTCAACATTGCAGCCAATTAAGAATAGATTATGAGCATAATGACGAAGAGGCTTAAACTATATGTACAGTTTGTATTAGAGTAACCAAGGCTTGAACAAATTTGTTCTGAATGTATAAAATTATTACAATAAATTAATTGCAAGCAATATTTTGTTTTTGTAACCCCGCGAGAAATATTGTTTAAAGAAGTTTATAGTCAAAAATTACTAATTTTTTTAATATATATATATATTTTATAGTTACAAAAATTATAATAAAAATCAACTTTAGTTTTTAAATACATGATAATATCATGAACTTCTTTTTTTTTTCAATTACCAATATAATTCCAAATCAGAGAAAAGTATTAATAGTTCAACTTAACTATAAGTTTTCTTATATTCATAAAATTATCATAATAAGTTATTTCTCTATCAGGTTTGTACACAAAAATTTACTTCAAGGGGAGCATTCAGATAATTTAAAAAATAACTTTTATTTTATAAAATACTCATAATCAGACTTAATTCATTTATAATAGATATATATTTGTATCAATATAGTCATATAGAGGATGCTTCAACTTATCAAATCCCGGTTATTTATAGAATCTTAGAATTCTAGATATTGGCAGGGTCTATTAAAATTTTTTATAAAAATTTGATAAATTTCCAACGTTATCACTGAGCACTGGGCAAACTATTTGTGTTAGTTAATTTTATTTTATTTTATGCTAATTTTATTTTAATTTTATTTCATATTATTTGATATCTAATATTAATAGAAAAATTAAAAATTTATATTTGATATTTTAATTATTGAAGAACATAATTTTCAAATTGAAACTAATATACTTTCCTACTATCTTATATACTCTCAAATATATTCATTTTCATTTAAGTAAATAATCAACTAATGTCATATTCAAAATATGATATAAAATAAGTTATAAAAACGAAACCATCAACCACAAGACATCCTTACTGAAATACGAGTACAAGTATCCTTATTCTTCTTTCAAAAATAATTATTAAAATTTTTTCAAATTTATTCAAGGTAATAACTCGCATAAACTCATCCTACACAAAGACTTTGGTACATCCTTTCTCCATACTTTGCTGCACGACAGCATTTGCGCCGTTAAGTATGCAATTAACTTGAATATGTCCTTTTAATGACTTTTACTGCCGTTATGATACCTTTATTAACGATAAAATATTGTGTGTGCATAATTAGCCAGTTTAATGAATACGTTTGTAGCCTGTAATGACACAATATAAATTTTAAATATGAGCGCCAAGATAAAAACATGAATTATTAATTATTGCAACTTATAATTTTTAGTAAATTTTTTATTTTTTTTTTGTTACTTGGAAGGGTTATAACCTGGCAACTTTTGAATTTTTTACGATGCCGTAATTTAGATAAAATGTGACATTGAACATATTTCATGACGATGTGATATATGCGTCTTCTAATTTCAGAAAATTTTTTTCTGTGCTTTTATTTTATTTTTAAAAAATATTATTTTTTATTTATTTAAAGATTTAATTAATTTGGATTTGATAATTACCGAAAGCAGAAATTTTCTTCAATACAGTTCATTATATATTTACATGAACTCAACAACTGCTTGAACAGAATGGTAAGCATTTGACACATACTTTTGCATCTGCTATACTTTAATAATGTATCCATATACCATTTTAAGGTATTACATTTCATGTTCAAATCTGAAAATGAATCTCAAATCGAAAACGTATCAAATTTATACATATATATATATATACATATATACTTAATATATATAATATTTAATATTTTCATTGTTTAGCATTGCTATCTGTATTTCCAAGCTGCATATAGTGGCATTAGTTCTACAATAAATTCTACAACAAAAGCATACCTATTAGCTACGGGACTATATGCTAGTTTATGAGAGATAATCATATAACACGTCCATATAAGATATATTGGATTATGGTTCTATGAATAAGTTGTAGACAAGTATTATTATATACATATTTAAATATATTCAACGTCAATTAGGATGAACCTCTTTATAACAAAAAAAAATCTATTTTCTCTCTTATTTAGAGTATTACAGGTTTAAATAGTGACTTTTTTAAGTTTTTAATTAGTAATAAATGATAATCAATTTCAGTAACTCAACAATAATATGATATATGTTAGGTATTACGTATGGGTCTGGTGTTATAAACATGTTATGAATGGTAAGATATATATATGACATATAAATGCAAATAAATCTGATTGTTGGTATATCGTTTTTGACTTTTTAAAGTTTCTTCAATTAGTTTTTATATAATTAAATACATTAGTTATAAGCTTTCTTGTAAATATTATTATATAGTATTATATTATATATTATTATATATTATATATTATATATTATTATATTATATATAATAATAATATAACACAGGAAATTGTTAAACATTTATTAAGTTTATTAATATTAAATAATATAAATATACTTAATATAAAAGTATTATTTCAGCTGCTGATGCTATATTGTGATACTGCACACTATAAAAAAAAAACAAATATTATCCGCTTCATATCCGCCGTACTACTCCATAATTGCTAATTTATTTTAACTATTTATCTAATTTATCTAATTTTTTTTATGGTATATTAGTAATGATATAGTATGAATTTTTATTTGTATACATAATGACAAAACCAAGGCTATATTTATAACTCGAAAAAGAAGACAGCATCCTCCAAG